GAACGTTGCTTCGTTTCTTCTGGCGCATAATGCACGTGAATCATTTTTGGACAGAATTGTCACCGGTGATGAAAAATGGACAGATAGTCCATTGACCAACTTTGAGCTTAACATCAAATAAACAAATCTTACAGTTTTTGAGGAAGTATAAATATACTACAAAGTAAACGATATCTTTTATCAATAGTAGCAGTTAAAAAGTAAAAAAGGAAAAAGCTATGCCATGCTTTATGCTCTTGAGTCCAACGTATTTCATAAGCTACTATAAGATGTTTCATTGCCTCTTTCAGCTTAACATACCAGACTAATTTACCTTGTTCATATTCAGAGCAACAACTACCATACAAAATTAACGAAGCAATATAATCAGGATCTTTAAAAACTGCTTGTTTAATTACCAAGAACTTATACTACGAAGTACGTTCAAAACGTTAAGTATCTACGGTCAGTCTGTGAAAACTACATCTGATCACAATAAAGGACTGTGTTGTAAGAACCCTATCTAGTGAACCCTTAACCCATTTTTACCACTTAAATATATGTTTATTTCCAAAATAATTTTAAAAACGACGGTTGATCAGAAGCATAAAATTTTGCATGCTATCATCAAAATAATGCTCTCCCCAGTGGCTCAACGGAAAGTATGAGGGCTTATAACGTAAGTATCGGGTTTCGATGCCCGCGGTGGACACAGCACAGATATCACCAATGTGTAGCTTTGTTTTTAATATTTATCCAATGAAACACCATAATGTCGTTGAAATAAGAAAATATTATATAGTTCAAAACATTGTATGCCTAGTAACTGTTATGAAGTGACTTTAGAAAGGAAATTATGAGATACTAGCTGGAGTACCCATCCCCTGGATGGAAGTTATGTAAATTCATGATTAATGACTGGTTATCTTAGGACATGAAAAGTTGCTTCCCTTGTATGTAATTGTGAAAAAAAAAAGAAAGAAGCAAAATGTCCATAAAAACCGCAAAACTGAAATTTTGTATGTATCTCTCCATGGACCCTCATATCGATTCACAGGAGGTGAGGTAATGTTAGCTATGTTTTAATGATTGACGTATACTTAGAACTTAAACGTATACTTTAATCGGAACTATATTATTTATCTTATTCAAGCCCAAATCAGTCGAGAAATATTAGAGACCTTTTTGTAGGTCAATACTTAGCATTATATCTTCTATATTCAGTGCCGACGAGGCCGTTCGACCAATACCAGGGCTGTTCAAGCCAGATGGCATACTGTAGACATAGTAGTGGTTGAGACGCTGTTTAAGTTAGCAAATAGCTTGACAACAATTGTTACGGTGTGGATTAAATTAAATAGATGAGCGTAATTTTATATCAATATTGTCAATTTAAAAGGTTAAAGACAGGTTAACCATGAAAAAGTCAGCCTTTAGAAACATTCAAATAAAGGAAATTCTAGAATGGCATGACTTAGTTGGAGCCTGAGAATTCTATTCTGAAGAAAAAGACTATAAGGCAGCTAAATGATTATTTCGAGGAAGGGTATCGATAAAGAACTAGAGCTGAAAGCCAGTTACGTTTTGCATGGTGGTCAGAACAGTAACTTGTTAATGTGTAGCTTTGTTTGTTTATTTATGTTTTAGCACGAAGATACACAGTTGGCTATCTGCACTCGGTCCATCATGGGCGGCCCGGCATGGCCAAGTGGTTAGGGGGCTCGTCTCGCAATCTGCGGGTTCGAATCCCTGTCACATCACACATGCTCGCCCTTTCAGCCTTGGGGGCGTTATAATGTGATGGTCAATTCCACTATCCGTTGGTAAAAGAGTAGCCCAAAAGTTGGCAGTGGGTGGTAATGACTAGCTGCCTTTCCTAATTTTACAAAGGTGGTACAAAATTGTTCCTTTATTAATTTACAAAATGAATGTAATTAATATTCAAATAATTGTCTGATTTTTCATCACTGCATTCTTTAATTTTTTTGTGTTTTGGGAAAGAAGAATAGAAAATAAGAAATACAAGCAAAGTAGGCTGAGCTTTGAGTTTGCAGCAGCAACAGCATCAAACCCACTAAGTTCAACAGAGACTCTCACATCAAAACCACCAAGTTCAGCTACTTCAACACCGCTAGCAAAGTCAACGTCTACCCTTCAAACAGGTTGTGCTTATTTTTTTGACTTGGGAATTGATATTCCTAAACATCCCAAACTTGGCCAATACCCTGAAACCAATAAGCGACGATTTTGTTCACAGTGGTATAATAACAAACATTGGCTTGAGTATTCAGTGATAAAAAATGCTGCTTTTTGCTACTGTTGTGGGAAGTTTGGCACGAGCAGTGCGGAGAAAAGTTTCACTGATGTAGGTTACACAAACTGGAAGACGGCATTTAATTTGGTAAAGGAATCAGGAGGCATGAGACCTCAAGTGACCATCTGCAATGTATGACACTTTGGATGGAACATCAGATACGCATTACAAAATAAATGGAACTCAGCACCCTTCTCAGTGATGCTCAGCTAGAGTTTCATCGCTACCATCTGTCGGCAATTATCGAGATCATACAGATTCTAGCTGGGAAGAAAAGTACCTTAAGTGGCAACTATATCAGTGAACTTGGTATGGAGGACGGATTTTTTCAGACCATGTTCAACTTTGCCATCAGCAGAGATAAGATACTATGCAACGCAAAGTATACGTCACCTGAAATCCATAATCAAATTCTCTGTCTACTCGCGAAAACTATCCAACAAAGAATCCGAAATGAAGTTGGTGATAAAAAGTACACAATAAAGGTGGATGAAACTCGTGATAGGTGCAACTGTGATAATCTGTACTTATGTGTGAGATACTTACAAGACGGAAATATTGTTGAACATCTACTTGCAGTTATTCAAGTTTCCAGTTTTGATGCACATTCCTTGACTGACTCCATCATAGCAATATGTCCAGAGCATGGCTTCAGTTTGGAAAACGTTCTTGGCCAATGCTATGATGGAGCTAGTGTGATGTCGGGACGATCTGGGGGTGTTCAAAAACTTCTCCAGGAAAGACTGGGCTTATCTGTTCCCTACGTGCACTGCCTAAACCACCAACTACACCTTGTAGTTGTGCATGCGATTTCGGCTGTAGATGTTGACATGGACGCCTTTTTTGGCACTTGCAACATCCTGTACAACTTCATACGTAAGCCAACTGTGTCTGTTCACTACACTGGACAAGCACTGAAACGACTGTTGGAACAGCGGTGGACTGACCACCTAGCTACTGTGAAAGTAATCACTGGATCATATAAAGCTATCTTAACGATTCTGTTGGGCATTGCCACAAATGAGAATAACACATACTTACCTGAATTAGTGGTGGAGGCAATCGGATTGTTGAAGCTGATCAAAAAGAAACCCTTTCTGTTCCATGCCGTAGCTTTCCACAAAGCATTGAGTATACTAGCACCTGTCAACATTCATCTACAACCACTCAGTATCAATCTGATGCAGGCTTTGATGCTGATAACATCTTCGGAGCATCCATTGCTTTGTTGAGAACCGATGAAACATTTACCACTTTGCTGGATGAAGTTAAGCTGATTCTGCAAAATACTGCAGGTGATGATAACAGTGTAACAGTACAAGACCACCAGCCTGCAGAAAAGAGAAGACGTCGTGAAAACTTGGGTTTCAAAGACTACATTGTTGACCATCTACACAGAGGTAACACCAATTTGTCAAAAAATGATAACCTTAAACGATCGTGGTTCTGTCTAATTGACAGTATCCTGGTTGAGCTTGAAGAACGTTTCTCGGAGAAATATTCGCATCTTATTCGTGCCATGGAGTCACTAGATCCTCAGTCAAAACATTTCTTTAATAAAGACCGAATGGGATTTCTCGCAGACTTGATCGGCCTTGAAATGGA